AGAGTTCTCTTTCATTCTGGATCTCTATAGTTTAGTATCCAACAAAGTTTAAAGAATTTAAAGCTAAAATATATGTTTATATAGATATAAGAGAAGTGTATAAATGTTGGTAAATTGGATTCGAAGCATTTCTAACAAAACCTTCCATACTTTAATTACAAATATTTCAAAGCTAAATGCACTTTAAATATGAAAAGCAAACTTTCTCGAGTTTCAACTCAATTTGCTAATTAATGCAGCTATACTAAGTACACAAGTTCAACCAGAGTATACAATTTGAAACTATGGCACTGCTCGCCCCTCGCTTTGGCGTCTGCTTAACTCAAGCATCATCTAGGAATTTGCGAAATAAAAATAATTTATATATAGTATATACTTCCACTTCAACTTTTTGTCGCCAAGAGTGTAAAAGGCCACTTGGCCACAAACAAATGCTGAGCATAATTCGGGCTTATGGACGACACTTCAAGCGAACCGGGTCAGAATGACCCGTTAAATGGGTATTCAATTTCAGATAATTGCACAAATTAATTGGCCCGGCCTTGGGGTGAGCACTGCAATTAGAACAAGTGGCTGATGTCAGGGCAGGGCAGGGTAGAGTCAGTGGCAATAGAGGAGGAAGAAGCAGCAGCAGCGAAAAATGAAACCAGCCGCAAAAAATGAAACTCAAAGCGAAAACCGGCAATAGCAAAATTTGCCTCAGCAAACGCTTAAAGCTAATTTCAGTTTTTCACGAATTTTCCCAAACGAAATGGGCACAGCACAAACACAAACACACACACACACACATACATACAGTCAGTCATAGATTGCTGTTTGCATATGTGTGTATATGTTATGAAGAAACTGGACGTTTCACATGAACGCTTCAGTGGCTCACAGAGCCAATTCGTTATGGCAAACGAGACGAGACGCTGGGTGGTGCGGGCGGCGGCGTTGATGGGTGGGTTTTGGATGAAGCGAAAAGCGAGAGCTCCGATCGACATCGCACAGTTCTAAAACATGCTAGGCACGCCTATACAAATGACAAGAGTCGAGCGAGATGGAGAGAAAAACAGATGTGCCATGCCAGTTGAATACTCTGTTTATGGAATGGAAATGGGAGTATAAGTATGTATGTATGTATGTATGTGTGAGTAGGTGAAATTTTAAGAAAGCAGTAAAAAGGGGAATATATGTATATGAGTATATGAATATGTATTTATGGAAATGTTCTATTTTGTAGGCCTAATTAAATCATATATAGATCTGTTATGCCTAAATTACTTCCCGAATTCTTTGCTTTACAACACTGATTTGTTAGACACATAAATTATCTTACTTTCATCTTAGCTAAACTAAGCAATAAACGCTTTTACATAGATTTTCCTTTACATCTCATTTAAGTTTGCTGGCATTATACAACACTGGCAAATTCCATACATTGCAATCGCATGGATGCTGCAATTCCAGCTCTAATCAATAATTATATTAAATCGTCATTAAAAATCAATAATACTCCATTTCCGACAATTCAGATTAATCGCTTATTAAGCTAGTGTCATTCCAGCATGGGGCATTGTCTGTTTGCCCTTGTTAGGGCCTAATGCAATTTGCAACTCAATTGCAATTTCTGTCCGCTGCGGCAAGTTCTGCAAATTACGGCGAGTCCGCAGTCGCTGCTGGGGGCACGGCTGGCAACTGGAGGCATGCAACTGGGGCAGGCGGCAGCTGGCAGAAGTGATTCAATTAAAGACTGCACTTTGTGCTGGAAAACTCTTTTTGTGTGTCGTCTCCCTCGCGCTGTCTGGATGTCTCGCTCCGCCCTCCCCAGCCTAGAGCCGTTGTCTGTTTTAAGTGGATTGGGAAATGCAGACACGATTTTCGATTTATTGCAGGCATTTCCGTTCCAGCTGTCAATTGATTTGTGAAGCAGCGGAAGCCGTTCCCGAGAGACAGACAGAGACAGACAGAGAGAGAGAGAGAGAGGGAGATAGATATAGCTACTCTTGCAACTGACACTCAATGATGATGTCCACCAAGTGGCTGTTAGTTTGTTGCCATCTTATGCCAGTGCTGGGTGTCCAATTGCTGGTCTCCAGGCACGCACACGCAATTCGTTAGCTGCAGCCAAGTGCCGCCGCAGCGTTTGCCGCAATCTGGCCACAGCTATTTTCGTAACCCGAGTGAAAAGTGAAAGTTGCCTGCCTGCCTGCCCCCTCCCCTGCACACACATTTCAGGTCCAGGTCCACTGCCACGCCCACCGTTCACGACAAGCATTTGAATTGCTTTTGGTCGTCAGCGACAGCGACAGCAGCAGCAGCGACAGCAGTAGCTGGTTTAATGAAAAGCGAATGGCAATTGAATGCGATACCCTGTAAAAGATTCACACCGCCTGGGAAGTATACCAGAGACCAGTGAGCTATATAATACCATAAGAGTGAGTACCAAATATGTATTTTATATGAGCTAATTCAATAGATGTTGATAAAAGATAGTTGGAAGAATTATTGTCATCTTTATAAAATGAAAAGATGACTTCTTCACAGCTCAAGATTCTCAATTTTATCTGTCGTCCCTCTCTTAGTATACACTAGAACAGAAATGGGTTTATATCCCGATGTAACTCGATTATTGATTTAGTTTATTGAGCGAGTTAATCCAGGCAATTCCCAGAAATCGTAAAGCAACAAAGCGTAATTCGCTTAACAAAGCCCATTCATAATAAGTATTTAGCAGTCGCTATAGCAAGCCCATTCATAATATAATAATAAGTAAAAGGTATACAAAAGTAGTTTACATTCGATATAGAAAGCTCATTTGTTATATATTAAATAAAGTAGTTAATATTCGGCACAATCCAACTCATATAGTGTATAGTATACCTAGAAGCTAGACAGACAAGTCAATCTGGCTAGCTCAAATGGAAAATTATAGATACTACTGTTGTAATCATTAGCAGGTGGCGTAGTTCGAGCCTGCGATAACTGAAATGATTAGTAATATAAGCTTATATTTATATACTATCTATCTATAATAGACAGCTGTTGTTAGTGCATTAATGAGCCGTCGACAGTCTGTCAATATTTATCTCAATGTTTCGGATCACCGGGCTGACCCAATGCAAAGCTCTATGGAGATAACTGCGCATATCTATGTACATACACACACACACACATGTACAGGGTATCAGCGTAGCAATCAACAACGTCTTGCGCACACGAGACTTGTTTTCTTAATGTGCTAATTAAAAGAGACGACAGAGTGAGGCAACTGAACCCAATACACAAAACCGAAGACCTAAAGGTCTCCAAAAGTACACAAACTTAACAAAAACGATGCTAATTGAGAATCGCAGAGGAGGCCAGAGCACCGTGCATCGAGCATCGAGAATGGCGACTCGACTCGAGTCGAGTCATAGTGAATCAACAAAAAGGAAAATGTGTGTCATCTGCGGCACAGTGGCCAGACAACGACCCACTCATGTGGCTTAGCCCTGCCCCAAACTGGATACCGAATTGCAGTCGAGCGACGTCAACAGCTGTGGTTCAATGCACAGCGATATGAATGCGAAAGCTTCAAGCTAACGTTCACAATGCACAATTCACAATAGACATCATACAGTCCACACAATCCACATCCCTCACACACATTACCCCAACATCCGAGGCATTCTCTGGAAAAGTTCGCGCGGAGTGTTGAAAGCAAAAAGAGCGTCAAACAGCTGTCGGGTTTTCCAAATCAGCGGCAGATCTTTCGTGCTAGGCACAAGTGGATACAAAATTAAAACAAACACACACACACACACACACACATTTGGATAAAGCTTAGTTATATATGTATTGTGTTTCAGTTTTTGTTTCTTTGCTTTTATTTTTTTTTTCGCTACTAAGTGCAAAACTTGTTTTTTGCGCATTTTGCGCACTCAGCGTAAAAAAACACAAACAAAAACCATTAAAAAAAAAACTCGTCGCTGCGTTGCGGCAGAAAAAAATAGCAACAACAACAAATTGTAGCGAAATATTATGCATAGCCAACAGATACAGATACAGCTAACGATACCCACACATATCTGTATATAGAGAGATACATAGATACAGATACAAATACATTTTGCACTAATGTATGGGCAAAAGAATAAGAACTGACCTAGCATAGTCGAGGCTGGAATACTCTGCTTGAAGATTCATCATATGGATTAATCTTTCGTCTGATTGTATATTAAATCTACAGCAAAGAGAAAATCGTAAATAGGAAAATGTTTTAGAAAACATCTCTATATAAGATGCATTGTTACATATTGCAATTCAAACTATATAATATAATAACGCACAATAATGATCGGATAATTTGATAAAAGGAAATATATCGACACTCGAAACTTTAACTCTAAATTATCTACAATATTTAGTTACTCAATTTGACTGATTTTAATTTATGTTTATTATAAAACAATACAAAGCAGCTGTACCAAATTTCAACATGATATCTTCACCAAAAGCTGAGTTACGATAGGTATTACGAGCAGCAAAAGAGACAAGATTAATAGCTCTGGATAAAATATATTCTGGACAATTGACAGCATATCTTAAGATAAAAAAAATAAAAAAATAGATCTATGTATAGATTAAAGATATTATAAAGCAACAATATTTCACTCAATTTTAAAATTTTCTATGACAAGTAAATAATAATGCAATTAAACCAAAATTGGATTAAAGGCTAAATTAACACAGGTTTAGATAAGCTAATAAATTCTTAAATGTCTTACTCAAAAATATGACGCACTTCATATATTACAGTCATAAATGCTCGCTGTTAGAGCATGGCATTTTCAGACCTACCACATGGAGCTGAGCGCTGACGCCTGACTCAAGAAATTTTTGCAAAATCAGCAACAACAATAGCAACAACAACAATCGT